GTCCCGGACGGTCGAGAAGCCATTGCAGCCATGGAAGAGGGAGATTCAGAGATTGTTCCTCCTTCAAGAATTTCGGAAGGTTGCGAAGCCATTGTTTCGCTCCTTTGATCTCTTTCTTGCACTGTTTCTTGGAAAATGGTTAATTGCTCTTGATTGAAGCCTTTGAAAGGAGAGTGGAGGTGTTTTCTTTCTTGCAAGGAGAGAGAGAGAGCGAGAGAGAGAGAGAGAGAGAACGTTGAGATCTCTGGTTAGGTTTTATAGAGTGATCCTGACTCTTATTTAAGACTGCGGAGAGAGGGAGGGAGGTTGAGTTTGAGTTAGGATCTTATCGAGTACCATGTTATTTCCATAAATACAGAGTGTAAATATACGAATTTAATGTAGCTAGTTTTTCAATTACAAAAATGATAAAAAAAAATAAACTAGGGAGGTTGAGTTTGAAGATACCAGTTACAATACCCTTCATCTTAATAAAAGATTATAACATTTTAGCTTATTCTAGATAGTTTATGTTAAACCTCTTGTTATTTTCTATTTGCTAAATTGTGATTACTTAAATTACTTTATGTGCTGATTATTTTCTTTTTCTGTGTGACAAGTTAAGCGAAGGGGATTAAACCGCGGAACACAGTTGAGCTGTTGAGGGATACATTTCTTTTTTCTTTAGGCCGGAAGAGGAAACTTTAGCATCATGTGTTTTTTCTTGTCCTATAAATATATGGGTAAATTGACATGTTTGAAGATACAATTATAATATTACCCTTCATCTTAAGAGGTTATATTATTTTTAGCCTGTATAGATAGTTATATCATTTGAACATTCTGAGGTGACTTTCTCATGTTAAAATTAGTGAATTACACCTTTGACCATTTTTAATATATGTTTCATGATCAATTTAAATCAATACAATCAAAATATAAAATTATTACCTAGTTAACTATTTTTTTTTAAGTAAGAATTGGCGTATTACATGCTAGACTTGATATGCAACTTTGGGAGTTTTTAAGTGAAAAATCTTCAAAGAGCTCCTAAGAAGTTAGGAGAGGTTGTGTACGAACCCCTCAAAGTTCTCTGTTGAAGCAACCGCGAAGAAAATTGGCGAAGAACGGGTTTTGGAAGCGCAGGAATCAGTTTTGGGAGCTGCGCAGTCGACCGCGGCGCAAGGTCGGTCGACCGTGAACGTGCACAGGTTCATGAATGAGCCTAGACTTGGCGCGGTCGACCGCCGCAGTGAAAAATCTTCAAAGAGCTCCTAAGAAGTTAGGAGAGGTTGTGTACGAACCCCTCAAAGTTCTCTGTTGAAGCAACCGCGAAGAAAATTGGCGAAGAACGGGTTTTGGAAGCGCAGGAATCAGTTTTGGGAGCTGCGCAGTCGACCGCGGCGCAAGGTCGGTCGACCGTGAACGTAGCCCATGTTGAGTTTCCTGTTCTGAATTGGATTTTGGTGTTTGTATAAATAACAATATACATTCTAGGGTTTCTTAAGGCTAGAGTTTGGGATATTTGGAGCACAGAAAAGATGTATTTTCTGAGCTATTTGTTTAGGGTTTATTTGGAGAGATTAAGAGCTTTGTGGTGAGATTAGTGTAGGCGTTAAAAATTGCCCATAGGTCCTCAAACACAGTGCAAGACAAGGAAAAGACGATAAACGTTATTATCCAAGTCAAAGGAATTCATCCCAAACATGGGTAAATCGGCGAAGCGACGAAGCGTACGCAAAACGAGGAAACCGGAAGAATCACGAAACATTGCTTAGAAGCTTGAACAGTGCCGAGTCACCAAATGCTGACTCGCACAGTTCCGAGTCACCAGAAGCTGACTCGCACAGTTCCGAGTCACCAGAAGCTGACTCGCACAGTTCCGAGTCACCAGAAGCTGACTCGCACAGTTCCGAGTCACCAGAAGCTGACTCGCACAGTTCCGAGTCACCAGAAGCTGACTCGCACAGTTCCGAGTCACCAGAAGCTGACTCGCACAGTTCCGAGTCACCAGAAGCTGACTCGCACAGTTCCGAGTCACCAGAAGCTGACTCGCACAGTTCCGAGTCACCAGAAGCTGACTCGCACAGTTCCGAGTCACCAGAAGCTGACTCGCACAGTTCCGAGTCACCAGAAGCTGACTCGCACAGTTCCGAGTCACCAGAAGCTGACTCGCACAGTTCCGAGTCACCAGAAGCTGACTCGCACATTTCCGAGTCACCAGGACTCTTGTTGGATACAAAACCTCCCCAAACACGGATTTCGATGATTTTTAAGGATTCTTTCGTCCCAAAACCTCTCCAACTGCTCTGAGGTTATCCATAAACACGTTTAGACAGTTATAAACCGCAGATAACGTTTAAACATCAATTCCTACTAGGAGACACATCTCAAAAAGCCTATAAATAGAAGCCTAAGGTCTTCTTTCAAGGGGATCGGAGATCTGAGATTAAGAAGGCGAGGTGCTGTCAAATTGACCAGTCAACCACGAATTTCAGAGGAGAATCATCAGAGCTTGGCGAACACTTTCATAAAGAAAGCCCCTTCGAAAGGTTTGTGATTCTTTTCCCTTCTTTCCTCCGGATTAAACTTGGTTTTAATCTCGAGAAGAGCCACAATCTCGCTTGGTCGTGATTGTCGCTTCCGTAATTGTTTCCCTCGTGAAACAAGAGCGTAATTATATTGTCGATCGGCTTTGGTCTGCGGTGGTCCACGGACTAACGCGTCCCCGGCACAGGCAAAGATCCCACGCAAAGCAGCGGGAGATAAACTACTGCTGCGTTTTGTTTGATAAAGTTGTAATCTTTATTTTTCGTTGTAAGAAGATCTTATAAAAAGATCAACTCTCTTTTCAGTTTTGAACTTGTAATCGATAAACGGTGTAACAGGTTTGAAAACAATGGAAAAGGCAACTTTTGACACAAACAAACTGGCGACCACAGTGGGAGCCGACAGCTTTTCTGCAAAAGCTGTAGTGTCGCAACCAAAGATCGTCATACCGATCAACGAGGAGGTCGAGTACGAGTTCGACCAAGCAAAATATGAAAAGTACTTATCCTCCTCTTCCCGATCATCCTCCCCTCGTAGGAATAGGAGAAACTCCACAAGGAAAGGTCGAGGACATTTGGATTTGAAGGTTCAAAATCAAGAACCTCATCCCGCAGCGGTTCAAGAGACTCCTTGTGAAGCTGAAGCTACCAAGGCCGAGCCGACGTTATCCAAGAGGGCCCGTCAAAGGCGTCGTCAACGCCTTGCACGTCAATTGGCCAAGGCCTCCGAACCAATGGATGGAATCCGCTATGAAGCGGATCTGAAGTTCAGAGGACGCCGACAGGCACAGCAGCGACTTGGCAATTGGGCCAAACCAATGACAAATGAATGGGTCCCCGTTAAGAGGACACGTTCCACTTTTGAAGAACGAACCAAGAAGCGTCACGCGTTACTTGCATACGCAAGAATCTTGGTACAAGAGGCCAAGAAACTACAAGCAAGTACTGCAGACCTTAGACGGACAAAACCACGTCAAATCTGGAGGTCAAAATCCAGAACAAAGTCCAAAAAAAATTAGA